TCATATTGAGTAAAATGGTTCTTTTGCGAGAAGGGCGAATCTGAACACTCCCCTGACCTCTCATATTTCACAACATCCACCATGCCATCACCTCCAAATGAACACTTACCGTCACATTTTAGACAGATTATCTCCTAAATTTCCCTGCATGTCAACTTACAAGTTAAGATGCCCGGGCAGGAGGAGGAAATAAGGCACTATTGTCATCAGAGTAGTGCATTGAATAACAACAAACCCTCCTGCCCCCCAAGCACCACCACCATCCTCCACAATATCACACTCGTCTGTGGAATAAGAGGTTTGTGCTTGACAAAACGATCCAGATTAATGACCGCAGTTTGTTTATGTCTCCAGGCAATTATGTGTACATTTCCTTAAAATCATATTAGTCATTCTGACCCACTGCAGCTTTTAATTAGTTTAAAGGAAGCCACCATTTTATCTCCTTTATTCTCAGAGCGAGAGGCAATCAATTCAGATGTAATACTGATAGCCAAGAAGCGGAGTGTACGTGCGTGCTTTTTTAAATTAAATGCAAACACACTGGGTACGAAGGTCCAATAGCAGTGACAAACACAGGAGAAGGGGATTGCTACACTAGGCATTATCTTATCTAGCTGCCTGCCCCCTCACCCGTCCATGTACACTTTTTCTCTCCTTTTTTTAAAGCCATTTGCAAAGACAGATATGGGAAACCCATAGTTGCACTTTTGAAGATGGAAATGGAAAAGGCAGCAGAACGCAGATGCTAAAATCTAAAACCCAAGTTAAAATCTGATAAACCAAAAGTAAAGTGTGGATAAAACATCTGATTCATTTGCTTGTTCATTTATAGATCAATAATCCTTAAAACAGGGCCAAACTAGCACTCAGAACTGTTTGCATGAAAGTTACATGAATGAAAAACAATGCTACTCCAAGTTACAGAGTCACGTGATGGGTACAGTATGAGATGGATCAAGCCTCTTGGGCCTTTAACAAGTGCTCCTTGTCACTGTGGCACTGCCCCCCCATCCCCCCAGGCTGTCCAGAAGTTTCTAGGTTTCTGTCTGCAGTCAAACCCCCTCAGTATTCTGCTGTGGGTAACTGTCAGACATGTCACGGTACCAAGACGAATGTCTGTTGCCACCCGCATCTCATTCCCTGTGCATTTATGTCTGCATGTGTGTGTGTGTGTGTGTGTGTGTGCCTGTAGGTTTCTCCAGTATCTGCCGCAGCCACGACAAAGAGCTTTAGTTACAGATTAACTCCTTTAATCAGATAGGTAATCGGGTTGCTGGATGGAGAGACGCTCCGAATGAACCTGCCTTCGAATTCTGCAAAGCAAACCCATGGTTAATGTTTAATGGACTCGGGGGTGTGATATCAGAGAATATGTAAAAGAACCTTTTAATACAGACTTATCTCCTGCACTCTGGAAAAATATGTGCCAGTCACCATAGGAAGGGAGCCTCATTGGAGCCTTCCAGAGACGGGCCACCCTCTGCAGGCAAACAAACAGGCACCGTGCCCTGCCCCTCACTGCTGTAACAACACTCACGTTACGAAGAAACACACAAAGGCTATTTCCTGTTTTAAGGGAACAGGTGTACCGGGAGTATCGGTACACGCCTTACCCTGGTCGCTGTCCAAAGCCATCATCAACTCGGGTAATACAAAGACACCAAGGCTCCTGTCTCTCGACTTGATTGCTGAGGGGGTCTGAAGCTCAATGATCAAATTTATTTTGAGGGACAAATTGACAGCTGGTTGCCAACCCTTAAATGCTTTGTGAGGTTTTAAAGAGATTAAAAGCAAATGCCATCTACGACTAGAGGCATCCTCTGTCACCACCCTGAGTTACAGGTAGACTGGATTATGGACTTTGTTACATGGAGATGAGACATTCTACCATCTCGCATTCAATAGCATTGTTTTGATTTTTTTCAAAAGGAAAAAAAAAACATGTATAGTCAGGAGAAAAGTAGCCTGCTGGATTCAACGCAGACTGAAAGCATTTCCTCTGAAGAAGGAATTTTAGCATATTTCAACACACAGATTATATTCCCATTACAATATGATGACATCATAAGGAATCTACAGTAGAAACAGAGGCTGTGAAGCTTGTTAGAAGTTTTCTGGAATTGGAGAGACGGAATGAGGCAGCTCTCTCTTGCTACTGATTATTGAGTTAAAGGTGTTAAACGGACTCTAGGAATACCACAAATCCTTCTGGAGCCTTCCAAAGTGGGAATAGGGTGTTAATGCGTGTCCTGCTCAGCCTGACTGCCCCAGACACTGGCAGGCTCTCAAACAAAGCAGCTGTCTGCTTCTGGGCCACCCGTCCAATCACAACACATTAAAACAGCGAGTTCCTTGCAGCCGTGTTTTCAGAATCACTGGGGTTCTCCCACTCCACAGACACAGACGGGCGGCCAGTCACCACTTCACGGACAAAGAAAGGCAGCCAGGCGCCGCTCCGCAGACTCAGACGAGCAGCCAGGCGCCGCTCTGCAGACACAGACAGGTGGCCCACTGCTCTGCAGATACAGACAGGCAGCCAGGCGTCACTTTGCAGACACAGACGGGCGGCTGAGCGCCACTTCACGGACAAAGAAAGGCAGCCAGGCGCCGCTCCGCAGACTCGGGCGGGCAGCCAGGCGCCGCTCTGCAGACACAGACAGGTGGCCCACTGCTCTGCAGATACAGACAGTCAGCCAGGCGTCACTTTGCAGACACAGACGGGCGGCCAGTCACCACTTCACGGACAAAGAAAGGCAGCCAGGCGCCGCTCCGCAGACTCGGGCGGGCAGCCAGGCGCCGCTCTGCAGACACAG